AAAGCTCTGTTCCTTTTCTTTACCATATAGTGCAGCATGGAGGGAAGAGCATATGTTCTTCGGTTTGCAGCAGAGAAGCTCCCTTCCCTTTCAAAATGCCTGTCTGGCAGCCAGGCTCTCTTTTCAGATGCAGTTTTTCTGGAGGCGATAATCTCTGATTACCCCAGCAATACCTGATGCTGCAATTCAGTAATGAATGCTCAGGTTATTCTCCTACTAGGTTATGACTCCTCTTAGTTTAAGTGGATGGGATTTCATGATATTCTGCCTCCTTTTCTTTCAAATCTTGACCTCACATATGTAACATTGGTGTGCCTGCTGTCACCACTAAATAAATAGTGAACAGGGAGAGCTCTGAAGCTTCTTGGAGAGTTCAGAAGCTTCTCTAGAAACCTCAAGGTAAATGTTGTATGAATATCTGTATCATGTCAAGTGATAGTCTATGTATCTTGGATGCTTTTTAAAAAGCAGCCTGGCGTCAGAAACCATACTGACATGTTACTGATCTTGGCCCTAAGATCTGCCTGAAAAGAACAAAGCTGCTTACTTGGCTTTTGGTTTTGAGACTGACCACAAATGTTCATGTCCCAAGCCTGCTGGATTTTATTTGACTGCTCTTAGTAACAGAAATACCTCTATTACAGCAGTGCCAAGAAGCCAGACTGAAGCCATACTGTGTTCAAGACGCTGCACAGAGACAAGAGCACAAATAGCCAAAGAAAGGATGAAAAATGAAGAGAATTAGGAATAGGTAAAGAAACTACTAAAAGAACACATGCCTGGTCCTCAGAGGCACTTAAAGAACTGACATCTTTTCCCTAATGGGCTTGCTCTCCACCAGAGCCATTTCTGGAGCGATGTAACTATGAGCTTACCTAAGCTTAACAAGCTGCCTTCCAGATTTTCCTGCCTCCTTGGGAAGAACAGAGCTAAGAAGAGCTTTTAATTAGGAGTGGGGAGAAGACAAGGGGCCAAATTCTACTTGCCTTAGAAGGCTGCAGACAGAAAGAGGTTGGAAGGCCCCATATGCTCTCCCTCTCCTGTATCTCCATCTGTCCCACATCTTCTTCTCTGCAGAGGATGTGCCATTCCAGTGTCAATCTCAGACTTGAACAACACAGTTCCACAATAAAGGGAGACACTAAAAGATACTATGGAGAATATGAGCAGGGATACATGATGTGGGTATTCTGGACTTTGGGAAAGGGAAAAGATCCACACCACTAGGCAGCTTTTCAGATAAATCTGTGTAAGATCACTTTTTCCAAGTTCACTTGGGGAAATCCTGGCAGCATAGCCCAAATCAATTTAAGCTTTACATTTCAGAGAGCTGGCAACAGGAACAGCTTGCAGTGTGTGCGTGTGGCAGTTCTGAAAGCCAAGCGGCCAGCTCGTGGCTTTTGGGCCCATCATCATCTCAGCCTGGGAGGTCTGACGGAGGACTCAAGGGCAGGGTGTGGTACCAGCTCTCCTCTTGGAGCACCCAAGTGCATGGTCAGTGTCTGAGCCCATGCACTACAGCCAGATTGCACATAAAGAGCCAGATTTGCCTGGGCACTGAAAGCAGCACAGCTTCCCTGGCATTGCTTCCTGCTCAAACAGCACTGATGTAGCTTGGGTACCTCTGCTTGGCATTATAATGGATATAAGCAGGTATGTAATTTCAGAGTTAGGGAACTAGACACAATATGCTCTTATATTTTATAGAAGACAAAAAAAAAGCAAATCAATTTAAGCAACAAATTTGATAAAAGTCTGATGAAAGTGGTTTTCACAGCATACAGCCCTCCACGAGAATCACTATGGGCATTTCTGCACATACTTGCTGCTTTGAACAATGTTTGGACAATGCTGGGTAGGTTTCCAGCAGTTTACTGCACAGGACCCTTGCATCGAAAGGGGACAAGGATCAGAAGCAGCCAAGATGATCTGTAAAAGATCAGCAGGACACTGCAGGATTATATCATTATGCCAGCCCCAGCCGTTAAATTCAACAGCTGGCTTGTGGCCAACCTTGTGTTAGTAGTCCTCAAGGCTGAATAGCCACCAGTGGGTTTGTGAACAACCTCCCCTGCACCAGACAGGCTGGCTGGTAACATCTTAAAAGGCTACTGGGGTTTTCTCTGCATTGCACACAGCCTTTGCCTCAATGATGGCATTGCTTAACAAACAGTCTTTGCAGTTCCTTAGGAGCTCTCCCTCACATCAGAACCAGAGACTGGCCTTCAACTCTACTGGAGGGAACTCAAGCCCCCTCACAGAACAAGTGCCTACCAATTAGTGACACTTACTGATTCTATCTGTAAAGAATCATTATGAAAAATGCAAAGCATTATGCAGCCACTATTAATCTTCTGCTTTTGTTGCATTTACTCATGGTTTATGGCCCTCCAAGGAGGATAAATGATAAAGGCATGTACTCACATTGTTATTTGTCTAGTTGTCTGCACAACAATACACATGCTCAGCACTAAGTAGAAGTTATTTTTCATGGGGAATGCAGCTTTAAGGCTTTTCAAGGTCAGAAGGCTTTGTGAGGGGGAAAAAACCTGCAAGTGACTCCGGCTCATTTGCTGCCAGCTCTTCCTTTTAAAGTTACAACCCACAAAAGACCAGAAGCAGGCTGAGACTCCAGGAGGAATGTCCACAGTAGGGCTCCTGCATTTTTGTGTCTTTTGCTAGGGTACAGGATGGCACACAGGCATGTAAGCGTGACAGGCAAGGTCATTGCTGTCAGATGACAAGCCCTTTTCCAAGGTATTTAACATTGGTGGAACAAGCGTTTCCACGCTGTGCTTAGGATACTGAAATCTCTCCTTGCTGGCTTACAGCTCATTGTCAGCAGCAATATTTTGGCCCAGTTTTGTTTATGGTAGCAGGAATATATTTCTGGAGGTTAAGTTCTAGCAAATTGAGGCTATCAGACGTCTGCAGAGGTGCTTAACTCTCCTGCAGACTAACAAACAGCACTAAGAAATGTTCTTTGGCACTGCATAGCTCTTTGCTAGGATGACAACTCCATTACGAACACAGAGTACTTAAAACAATATTAGTCCAAAAGTGGGAATGCAGAAACAATACCAAGCTGCTACAGAAACTACATTGTAGTTAAAATGATCAGATTTCCATGTTTACTTTGAAAACATACAGATGCAAGTACAAACTTTTTGTAAGTTTTTAGTCTTAAATACAGTAGGGATGGCACTCTGCAGTGTGAAAGATGACAGATGAGAAGCGGTATCTTTCATCAAATAATATTTGTCCCTTCCTTACTTAGAGAAATACTGAGACTGAACCTGGTCCAAAGCCAGCTGTGTCAGTGCAAGTCTTCCTGTCCCTTCTGCAGCTTCTGGATCTGGCCTGGCACCCCCAAAAGTCTATGATTACAAAACATGGCTTTGGCACCATGTCACACAAAACGGAAAGAAGTACTGCCAAAGTAGATATCAGGTAAAGCCAAACGCCTCCTGCCTGATTCCACCAAATAAAGCTCCATTCAGGCAGGGGGTAATATCAAATTTTTATAAAACATAGTCACAGAGGAAACTAAGTTTCACACCTCCTGATTATCTTTTGTTCTTGTATTTCTTCCTCTCTCTTTCAAGTTAACCAAAACCAGCAAGAGAAATCTGAGATAATGACTTGTCCCAAGACACTTGTTAAATGTATTCTTTAAAATAGGTTTTGTTTCCAGAAAACTGGTCAGAGTATTCATATTTGCACGTATCAGATTGACTCAGTCTCTTCCATTAGTGGATCTAGCAGTCAGTAAGGTAAAGCAACCTAATTTCAGTAACTCGGGATGTACAAAGAGCAAAGCTTGTGAAGGATTGGACAAGAAATATTCAGACATCTTGGAGGACACTGAAAAATATTTTCCACCTCTTTAATGAGATATGAGCCCATGGATCTTGCCAGGTGATAAATGGCCACTGTTTGAATAGCAGGTAGCCTGCAGGACATTATCAATGCTATGCCATCAATATTATATTGCTAACAATAAATGTTTTGACATGTAACAATACATTTATATATAAATCAATCAGATACTACACTCTCAATTATCCATACTATTAATAGTTTTGTCTTTTTAATTGTTGTGAATGGTGCCTTCAACGAGGGTTCTGTCTGATATAAATCAGGATGGTTCATTTAATACCTCCTTGGGCAAATTCATTTACCTTAGTGGAAGTACAGAAAGTGAAGGCAGTGGAATTTGGCCTATAATCTTTGATGGATTTCTCCTGGATTGTCTCCTCCAGCTTCATTTACAGCAGGTGCTGGCACTGATAGCATGTCTTTATAGACTCTATGGATGTGCACTCTTACCTTCTTAATCACAAAGGTGTAGGGCAGTAGAATCTACTAGGTATTTTTCTATATATATTTGAAAATTAGGGCTAAAGCCACATAACATTTTACTACCTTATTTTCTTTAACTATAAAAACATATTTCTATCCCATTAATTGCTCCTGTCTTTGCATTACCCTGAGTTGCCTACACTCTCTCCTATTAATATTCCTATATATTCTTCCTCCTGGACATACACGGAGAAAGGCTATTGCCTCTGTGCTCTGGTAACATGCCATCTATGCTTCCAGAGCTGGCAATTGCCTTGACCTTTCTATCTGCCCCTTTGCACTGCACTACGGGTTCAACTTGCTGTCTACTATCACTTTTGGACTGCACATCTATTTCCCTCCATGCCACTGAATTTCTGTGTCTGGAGTTATTTTCCTTCCCAGATTCTCTCCATGGCTTTTAGCCAAGCAGATTCTTACTCAATGGCATTTATGTCATATTTATAATACTTGCTATATATGCTGCTGTAGCTTCCCTTCATCTTGAATATCGAGGCCCTCTCTGGCAACATACTTGCTTTCACATTCCACCAAATACTCTTTCAGATTTGTATAAAACATCTTGGGCAAGAGCAGATCTCATGTGAGTGTGGCAGTTTCCACCAGGCATCATCAAACCCCTATCTTCTAACAGTTTCTTTCCCTCTGAGAGTTAGCAGCCAAAAGACACTTATACATTCCACAACATTTCAAATTTACATCTTAAGACTTCAGTAGAAACCACATTAATCTCAAGAAGAGTTCTTCATTCACAACAATCCAGTTTTCAAGCCAGGTTTCATTCTTATGGCCTATGATTCCACAGCAGGTGATGTACTTCAGGATACCTGCCCAGTCTCATATGGAAACCCCTGCTATTTGAACAGAAGAGATCACTACCCCTTTTCCAATAAGGCCTGCAATGGGAGAACATCTAACAGAAAAGGAGAAGCAGGTGTCACTGTATGCAGGGACACTTCAGTACATTCCCTCTGAGGTCTGGCTATTTGTTCAAGGTTTCCAGGCATGGCTAAAGTAGGAGCAGCAGCTCAATCAGAGCTATAGCTCCAGCTGGCTGGATTGCACAAATAGTTGTCACACAAGAGCCATGTGCCCTTGCACATACCCACAGTCCTCTCTTGGCACTCACTGGAACTCCTATGAATGTGTTGAACAAGTCCTCACATTATGATAAAGTAAATCCTACACAGTAACCATTCAAAAAGCATCAGACCTACTACACACATGCAGGACAACTTGCAGCGGGTCTGCACATGCTTTTATTTTCCGTTGGGAATCCCCAAAATGAATGTCAGCCCTCCCTGTACAAAAACTGTTCTGAACAGAACTTTGTGCCAACCTGAGTCTGTCCCTGAAGTTTCCTTAAGAAATTTCATGCCTGTGTCTCTGCTATTGCAGAAAGGACTGGGTACCTCTGTCAGCAGCAGAGCCAGTTCAAATAGAAAAAGGAAGAGGAGGCTGATGGGTCTCAGACCTCACCTGGTTTGGAGAATATGTAATTGTCAGCTGTAGCTAACCTTTATGGTCATCTCTGCACTGATGCTTTAAGAAAAACATCAGCCTGCACCTAATGCTTCCTTCTGTGCTGATCAGCAGTGTCTTTCCATGTTCTTAGTAGAGCTTGAAATTAGATCTACCAGACAGGAACAGCCAGGCTTTTTGAATTCTGGTATTTCTAAGACATTCACAAATGCTAGACATGTCTCTTACCCACCTTAGGCATCCTGGAGGTCAGAAGGAAATCTCAGAAAAGCATGAGAATTCAGAATCCAGAAATAAAAGCTGTCAAACAGGTGAGTTTTATTACAGTAATGAAAGCTACCTGGCAGGAATAAATGACCGCCTAACAGCATTCTTATGTACACACACACACACTTAGAAAAATAACCAGCAGAGGGAAAAGAGAGCAACAAAAATCCTCTCTGTTATATCTTTACTTTTATAACTTAAAAGCTGCATAGAGAGCAGAACAGTTGGTGGTCTTGCTCTGTAGCCAGCAGGGCTGTCAGCATGGACCTTTTCTTCTGGTTCTTCTTACCTTGCAGAACACAAGCGGTCCAGTGCTTCTGTATCCTGCAGAGCCCCTCACATAGGAGGCTTCTGGTCAAAGCAAGTGGAGATGTGGCCTGTGATGCAGAAAAAAGCTCTTTCCTAAGGCTTTCCCTTCCAACCAAACTCTCCCTGCTTCTGCCACTGAGAAGTTGGTAAAGAGACTCTCACTGCAAGGCTCAGGTCCCCCTTCTGCTTCAGTATACCACAGAAATAAGCAGTGAGCCTTTATCCTTGTTGTCCCAACCACCTCTCTACAGTCTGCATTCCTCCCTGAGCTTTTCCATTATACTGTAACCAAAAGCAATGGCTTTGAAATGAGAAGACTCCTCTTCTGAGTTTTGCACCTACGGCTCTCTATACAGCAGGTTTCAGTGTGTTTTAGATACAGACATTGCCAGGTACAATTAGTGCTTGCTGCATGGGGTACAAATTCTGCACATCAGGCACTCAAGTCCAACCCCACAATTTAGAGGACCAGGTGGTCCTTCGACTTATCCTCATCTAGAATCACATGAACAAGGAATGAGGTAGATACAATAGGGTGCTGCTTGTCAGGTCCTCTCCTCTTTCATACCCACTGCCTTGTCCCTGTGTTCCTCTGCTTTGACCTCTGCATGGAATCAGCCTGTTTCCTGCCTGGACTCCCCCTCTCATCTATATCTAAATATGGGCTTGGATTCACAGACTTCATTACTCAGGTCTGCTTTTCTTTGTACCATCATTACTGGCATCACTTACAGGAACTAAAAGCTGATGTATATTCTTCCTCTTGCGCATAAAACCTTTAAGTCTTCCTATGTGCTAAACCATCTCAGTTAGTTTCCCTCTAACTCTTCAGCATTATACTTCACACAGCAATTAATTCATTCTCTATTTCTCACTATGCTGAAGGCTGTACCCTATTGAAGTCTGTATCTGAGCAGAGCTGGTAATTCATCAGCACTCCAATATCTCTATATACAGTGTGCTCATTTTTCTATAATGGGCTTTTTTTAATCTTGCTGACAATAGAAATGTTGATATTGGTAAGGTTAATACCCACTGATAAATACCAGAAAACAATTTTACCCTCAAATAGTTTTTAATCATGGCTGCTGCAAAGTGTGACAAGAATGCTTTGTGCCAAACAGGCTTTAGAAGCATTGCTATCTAAATCTGTGAAGCCCCCTTTTATTACCAAAGGGGTTTCTCTGACAGTTACTGGGTTTGCTTTTGTGCCAGGTTATGAGGTTTATTATACTGGGTTAGTGTATCAACTGCCTGTCTTTTCTTTCACACCTCTTAATGGTTTACATTGTGTGTTGGATGTGCTGAGATGGCTTCAATCTTTACCTTATAAATGATGGAATCAATTCAATCAGTAAGCAAGCTAATGGAAGGAACGGAAAGAGAGTTTTACTGGGTGCAGTCACAAAAAGGTACTCTCTTTGACAAAGAAAATTCGACTATGGTGACAGGGTCAGGAGAAAGCAAGACTAACACCAATTTTTCACCCTTTAACACTGTGTTGTTTAAAACTGTGCACATTTTAACACTGACTGGCTTGTGGGGAGATGTTTGCATTGCACTAAGAAAAAGGTATGCACAGCTAATTCGTGTAATCACCAAGCCAGCATGCAGAGAAGGTTAGAGAACTAGTTTCCATTTTTAATTCACATTGGGTTTTGCTGGACTGCTTCCAAGCACTGAACCAGCAAAAGAAATATGAAGCACTTTATATTGTGTTCCCTGAGATGCTGCCCCAGTAAATGTCAATATGGCTTCACTGGAGCCTGAGCAGCACATGTCTGTCAGCAGATGATCTGACCCTAAACAGAGATTTCTGACTGCATAAGCCCTGTGACAAAGACAGCAGAGGTGGATATCACAGTACGGAGCAATGGGAAAAAGAGAATTCCCATTCAAAGCAAGCAGTATTTTCCAGCACTGAAGGGATTGAAGTGCGGAAATAAAATCCAAGATGTGTGGATCTCATAAATTACATGTGTATTGTATCTACATGAGGGTAAAAAAGCCTTTTGCTTTGGTATGTACTGTCCTTGATTTGTCCCGTTCATTCCAAAAAAGAGGCGGCTGTAGAAATAGCTGCCACTTGCAAAGACTTTCAGACTAAGCGAGTGTTTCAAGCATGGTAGCCAAATGCCACTTAGATCCATTTTTGCCTCACACTGAAGCCAAACAACAAGCCAAAGGACAGTGCTGGGGAAGGACAATGAACTAATGGAAATGGCTAGAGATATATTACCTCTGAAAGTAAAAGGCTCAGTGAGAAATGATTCTTGTTATTTTCATTATGAAGTATAGCTCCTTTGGAAAAGTCAAGGTAACCATTTTCCCCACAGAGACTAGCCAATATGTCTTAGCTCTGTTCTGAAATAGCCTGTGCTACTTGTGCTAGCAAGAGGGCTCTAGGAAGAGTCTACTTCTGAGTGCAGATTTGTCAAGAACTGGACCTCTAGACCCAAGGCTGAACCTGACAACCTGCACTGCTCAAATGCAAGTCATATAAAATCATAGAATCATAGAGTAGTTTCGGTTGGAAGGGACCTTTCAAAGGTCATCTAGTCCAACCCCCATGTAATGAGCAGGGACATCTTCAGCTAGATCAGGATGCCCAGAACCACATCCAGCCTGGCCTTAAGAAAGCAATGTGGATGTAGGAACTGCCTCCTGGGTTGGATCAACGGTTCATCCGGCCCAGGATCCTGACTTGGGTAGTAGCAACAGGATAAATTATTCAGAGGGAACATGGCAACATAGCCATTCTCTGTTCTCTATTTACTTTTTACTCCCTCAAAGCTGTTGTGTTAAGGATGTTACAGGGCTTATTGTTCAGTCCTCATAGTATGCATTCACAGACCCTTGGTCCATGAATGTCTAAATCCCTTTCTGAACCTGCTCATACTGACTGCCTCTACAAACTCCTATAGCAGCAAGGTCCAGAAGTTCACCACCCACTGCATAAAGAAGAACTTTATTTTACCTTTTTCAAACTTTTCGTATCAGCTTCACTGAGGTTTATGAACACTTGAAGTGATTCGATCAGTAACTCCTGCTGCACGACAGGATAACAATAAAAATGTGTATGTGGTCCCTGTTGCTGACACAAGAGTTCCAGAGTCCTGCAGAACGGCTTGTAAGTCTCCAGGCACACAGAAATGATTACATTTTTGTACTGATTTAGTTCTAAAGTACATTAGTAACATTATGTTGGTTAAGCCCACATAGCAGCCCGCATTGCAAAGGAAAGATAAAAAAAAGCTGTTTTTCTATGCAGGTACACACACACCAGATGTTACATATTTTTAGCTGGCTGCAGGTGTGTGTAAAAGGGATTTTGGGACTCACTGATTGTGGAGTTCTCTCTTAGCTTGTAACATTCCAGAAGATACAGTCCTAAGAGCCTTACTGCTAACAAGCTAATCACTTTGCAGGAGATGGCTTTTGGGTTGGCTACATTTATTTCAAACTGTGTTATTCTCTGCTAATTAAACTTCTGAAAAGGAATACAGCTGACAAGGAGTTAGAGTAATTTGCTCAGTCCTTGACATTAGTAAGGAAGTCTCAAAGCAGAGGCCAGTGAAGTACAAGAACACTAACCTCCAAGAGAAGAAACAGCAGTCCTTAGTTAGAGTCTTACCTCAGATGATGTTGTGAGGGATGAGTTGAAGATATCAAAGAAAGATACCCAAAACACAGATGATTCTGGTGGTAAGCAATCAGTTCAGACACACTGTGGCTGGTGGATCCCCAGAGGCAAAAAGAAATGGAAGAAAGTCTGAGTGTAGCTTGGAGACACAGATGCAGAGACTTGGCATTTGCCCTGTGGAATTCTTGGATGCACTTGAAAGGTTCCTCTCAAAGATGAAAGTGCAGTCTCTGCTTTGTGCCTGGAATGAACTGACACCATCATATTATCTCAGACTTACTGGCAAATGGTCTTTTCCAATGGCTGCAACTGTTATTAGATTACAGAATATGCAAAACAACAGATGGCTGCTAAATTAATTGCCAAATGATTAACTCCATGGTAATGATGCAGGAATCTAAGAACAAAATTTAAGGGAAGAGTCAGGTATGAAGGAAACCTGAAAACCCTTCCCATTTTCATGCCAGCAGTGGCTGGGCTCTATCTTACTAGCACACACAGTTAGTCAAAGAGACACTTTTTAAAGTCCTGAGCAGCACATAAATTTTCTCTTCTCAGAGTATGAATTAATAATTCAGGGACAACACTTCACCCTATCCCCAAACTTCAGTGGAAGTCTTTGAATGCATTCTTGAAGCAACAAGACTTACTCCCCTTCCTCACTGCAAGCAAAACAACTCTCCAGTAGAAATATACACAGTGTTTGTGGAGACAGCAGAACCTTCTTTTATCAAGTGTGTGAACAGGTTAGTGCTGTTGATGTCTACAGCTGCTCTGAACTGTATAAGTAAATGACTGTAAATCCACTAAAAGACATACTTAAACACTTCTCCCCCAACATAAGTCATCGATTTAGGCACACCCCAGTAGTAAGATGGGAAATATAGGGCACAGACTTACAGAAAAATGGAAGGCCAGCATCACTGTCATATCAGTTGTATGAGAAAAGGCTTAATTTAACATCTTGGAAGCAACAATCACAACCAAAGAGCCCATTACACAAGTTAGACTCAAACTACTGCCTGGTGTTGTAGCTCCTAGACATGCAAGCTAAGGGAGTCTGTAGGATCAATTCCCATGGCCTCTCAACTCCACTCCACTGCTGTCCAAAGACCCACATCATGTCCCTGCTGCCTGGTTGCAGTTGGGAGCTGCAGAGCTGCTTCCAGACTACAGCAGGCAGAAGCAATCTGGCCATCACTGAAAATGAAAAGCCTCTCATAAACAAACCTGACTGGTGATGAAAGTAACACCAAGACTTCACTGCCTTCCATTTCCTACAGGCAGGTGACAGAGCAAAAGACATTTCAAGGAGGAAAGGCAAAGCACTGCCTGTAATGGCAGTCTGCATTTCTCTTTTCCCTTGATACACTATTGTACACAGCTACGTATCTTCAGTTTCAAGGCTCAGGCCAGCACTCTCAGCAGCTCTCTGCTCACAATCCATGCTCTAGACAATGCAAGGACACCCTGGGAGCACTCTCAAACTGAGCTCAGTCTTGCAGCTCCCACTGGCTCAGCTTCAGACATGAACATAGTTCATCTTCCGCTAGAGACACCCAGATGTACTCCAGCTACAGCACATTCCCTGGCACACCCAGCTAGGACCTGCACACTGGCTCTGCATGAGGGGAAATGAGAGCCAGCAGTCAGGCCTGGCAGGGTCAACTGTCCCAACTAAAAATAGCTACATTGCTTCAGAAACTTTCATCATATGATTCCTTAAACATTATTGTTCTGGCCTAGGTCACTGTCATTATATACCAACACTCATTTGACTTAACAGTAACTGCACAAAAATGTCACAGTAGATGACAACCACCAGAGAAGTTGTGGCTGCCCCATCCCTGGCAGTGCTCAAGGCCAGGTTGGATGGGGCTTGAAGCAACCTCCTCTAGTGGAAGGTGTTCCTGCCTGTGGCAGGGGGTTGGAACTGGATAAGCTTTAAGGTCTCTTCCAACCCAAACCAGTCTGTGAGCCTATGATTCCACGATGAGAAAACAACATATATTCAGTGAGTCAGTCAGACCCAGAATGGCAGTTTGCTTGCTCCTACTCCTTTTGCAAATGTGCGCTGACAATTTTAACTATCACAGACGTAAACTGACACGTAACAATTTTAGGGGGATACAGCAGCGCAACTTTAAGACTTTTTTACATCTCACAGTTTGCACATACCACTGAGTATTCCTCTTCCAAGCTGCCTGGCTGTTAGCACTTAGAAAAACGTCACTGCCCAAAACACTGTTAAGACTTCCTTATTAGCCCCAGTGACCCATCTCCAATCCCAAACTTTGTACAATGATCTCAAACCCTCACCAAAAAACCCCAATAAAATTCATTACTTCTTCTGGTCCCTTGGGTTTCCGCCAAACTGTCCAACCACTTCACCTCCCTGCATGAGATGGGGAGTCTTGTTCTAGCTATTGGCCTGAAATACACAGAAGAAAACCCAAGTTTGAATCCCTCTCTCACTTGGCTTCAGAGAATTTGGGTAAGTTTGTTTTGGGCCATGTCACTATGGTCTTTTTTCCTTTCAGTTACCATGGCTGTCCGAGAGAGACATGACGTGACGGAACATCTGCAGTGCATGCAGCTCTCCTCCCCATGTACCAGACCAAGAAAAACAGCCTGGCAATGAAGTCAGCTAACTACAAAGTAGCACACAGCAATTTGTGTGGTTTTTGCTGCTGTTAAAAGTAAATCAGTTCAGAATCCCATGGACGCATCTACTCCTTTTTTGTGCAGGAGTGTCTTGTGTGTTCCTAGAAGTGCTCCATGAGATGGCCCCTACCTCTGCATTCAAAGCTATATCAACTCTCTTGTATTCTGTTTCCACTGCTGCTTTTTGGAGAACCCAACTGCCTGCATTTAGGGGATGGAAATAAAACATGCATAGAAGGAAGATGGATAGTCAAATTTCTGGCTGAGAAGGAGCAGGAATGACCCCCTCAGCAAACATTTGCTACTACGGTATTTTTTTTCAAGAGCTTAAAAAAAAAAACAGTAAAGAACAAAATTACACAGGAAAAGGTCTGTATATCCAGCCTTGATTATGGAAAAGGATCGCAAGTGGCTTCTGGCAGTCAGTTGAAATGTCACCCTATCAAATAGTGAGATAAAACACCAGCTTCCAGCCATAAGCCAAACCAAGACAGGCTAGTGGTTGTAAAGCACAGAGCCTCAGGAAATCCAGAGAGTCCAATAACTTCACAACTCCAACCATAAGGAGGCTGGATACCCTGTTAAAAAGTCATCATACGCAGGGGATTCATCATGTTGCTCTTTACATGCATCTTTCTGCATCAAGTGGCACTTGTAGTTAGGCTATATCACTTCACACTGCATTAGCCTATATTATGTCATTTCATTTGGCAGTAAAACAATATGCCATGACATATACATAATTTGGGGCATGTCACACCCTGTAAAGTATTTTGTATATCTCACTTAAATGTATGACCATCTTGTTCATCTTTTTCACACCTTCCTCTTACTAAAGCTAAAGACAGAAGCATATGAGGAAATCACAGGATAATCAGGATCCAGAAGCAGGAGGACAGGATGAGTGATAGTTTAGTTCCAGTGGCTTATTACTAGCAGCATCATTTCAGCTAACCTTGCATACTTCTAATCCCCTTTTCTGCCTATGGAGCATCCCCTGTTGTCATAATGTCAGTGAATGCCATTTAAGCCCGGACGCTCACTTGCAAAGCCTTGAAAAAACCAAAGGAATAATACTGAATTTATTAAAGCTGTTCAGCTTCTTCATCTGGTTTTGCTTCTTACTTTCTCAAAGATCTCCTGAGGAACTGGATTGATTTCTTCTTGCCAGAGGTCTTTTCTTTCCTGGTGTAGATTAAAGTCCATATGGCAGCTTTTGTTGATTAGCCACAACCAATTATGACAACATAGCATATAATATATTGTCTATCTAAATACGATGACATGACATCTACTTTGGTGACATCCTCCTCACCTAACACAGGACAAATGACTTCAAAGCAGACAACCACTACATACTGTCGCAGCATTCTTGAAATCTCTGCTCAGCACTAACCAGAACAGTATCAGTAGCTGGAAATAAACTGGCCTGGAGCAAGACAAAAGGATACAAATTTGTTGTGATGCTGATGATCCTTCCAAGCAGAAGTATGCTACTAAGATGGCCATGACAAGAGACAATGAAGAGCTCCAAACGGAAAGCACCTTCCCAACCTCCTAAAATCCAAGTGCTTCATTGCACCATAGCTGCTCTTCAAAACTATTCTGCTCTTATATCAAGACTTGCACAGCACTAAAATAAAACACTATCTAACATCACTGTGAGTCACAATCAATCACGATGGACAACCAACAGATGCAATATATGCTATTTTCAGTAGAACACAGAGTAAAATTAATGAAGATGCTCAGACCTGGTGCCCATATATGATCATTAAGAAAATGTAGACAGCCTCTCGTGTTAAAAAACAAACTCTGTATAGAACTGTATACTGCTGTGCACAGTTTCTGGACAGTTGCTGTATTGCTGTACAGCAATAATTTAACTGCATACAGCAGCCCTGCCTGGAGGGAGCACAATATCCAAATAACATATCAGAGGGAATTAGATTGGCACAGTGCAGTAACTAGAAATGGATCTGGGATGCTTTTGCAGCCATGCTCTCAATCAATTGCAAAGCCCTTGATGAGAAGCTCCCCATGAACCAGCAGTGTGCGCTTGAGCCCAGAAATCACCCTTGTCCTGGCCTGCATCCCCAGAGCGTGATCAGCAGGTCAATGGAGGAGATTCTCCCACTGTACCCCACTTTGGTGAAACCTCCCTGAAGTCCTGTGTTCAGCTCTGGGCAACAACACAAGAAGGACATGGAGCTGTTGCAGTGAGTCCAGAGGAGGCCACAAAGATGCTGCGAGGGCTGGAGCAGCTCTGCTCTGGAGCCAGGCTGAGAGACCTGGGGTGGTTCAGCCTGGAGAAGAGAAGGCTCCTTAAGGGGAGACCTTAGAGCAGCTCCCAGTGCCTAAAGGGGCTACAAGAAAGCTGGAGGGTAGCTTTGGACAAGGGCCTAGTAGGGACAGGACAAGGGGAATGGCTTTAACCCTGACAGAGGGGAGACTGAGATGAGACATTAGGAAGAATGATGAGAAAATGGACATGCGCCAGCTTCAGTGTGCGCTCGCAGCCCAGAAAGCCAACCATATCCTGGCTGCATGAAAAGG